AGTAATTGGACTTGGAACAAACAGTATACTACTTCCGTTTTAATTAACATTTCACCATATAACTATAGTACTCGCCAAAAACACTATCTTCTACATACAGAGACAATTATGATATGCATTATTGAAAGTAATAAAATGTTTTACTAATCAAACATTTATGTGGATCAGGCATTTTTATGCAATGGCAATTATAGGAAAAGGAATCAGGTTACCAGTGACAAATTTTCTTAATTAGAGTTGGGCATGTCTAGATTAGTCATACTTTGTGTTCCTACATAAAATATTCTTTCCTTAAAGAAACTTAAATTACTTTTGAAATTCATTTAAATTTTTCAAGATTCTAGCTGAGAAGTGTTATTTTTGTTTGGTACTCTATTATGATGATATGGTTTTATTACTAACATATCCATTTAAAGTACAGAACTTGTTCAGTTGGTGGGCAGATTTATCTAGTTAACAACAAAGTCTTTTACCAGCAAAAAGAATTGTGAAGCATTATAGATTCTGATGTGTTTTTAATTTAGAATATCCCTTAGCTGAAATTACTTATACAATAAGTATATCACCAAAGTTCCCCTAAATAATATAGAACATTCAAAGTACTCTTTTACTAATTGAATAAATCCACATTTTATTCAACCTACGTAAATCAAAACCCCAGGTTAATAGAAGAATATTTCAGTCAAGTATATGGATATGTCTCTTAAAAGCAAATATTTAGATTATTAACATATTTTATAATTAAATTTTCAGTAAGATTTTTGGCATTTGAAAGTAATTTGTAATAGTTATAAAAATAATATAGTAATATACATAATATATTTTTAAGAGTGATATATAAAAATGATATATATGTGTATATATATATTTAGAGAGAGAGAAAACAAACGTTTTCCTCCTATAGTCATGACAGAGTTACTGTTATTAGACTTTTCCATCTTCTTCTAAAAGCTACTAAAACATTAAACAAATTAGAATGAATTGGTTAAAAAAATAAGTTTAAAAGTTAGTGACCTAAGTTTTTATCTTTGGAAGATAAGATGAAGTATGCAAATTAAACCAAGGATAAGTAGAAGTAAAGAATAAATAAGAGTGAATATTTATAAAATAGAATTAAGAAAAAGAATATTAACAAAGAAAAATTTTATTTTTTGAAAAGTTTAATAAAACCAATGACCCCCTAGCAAGACTGGTCTTAGTTACAGAAATGATGATAAACAATTTCAATATCAAGAATAAAAGAGTGTATATCCTGAGTGTTAGAGTCATTACAAGTATAACAACAGAATAGTATAATAAAGTTTATGATAAAAATTTGACATTTTGACAAAGAAAGAAGTTTTACAAGACATAACCCAACACTATTGACATAAGAGAAATGATTGAAAAGCTGAAGACCCCAAAGGCATTTAATTATTTAAATTTATAATGACAAAAGTTCAACAACTTCACTCCCTGATTGCTTCACTGGTGAATTTTATTATATTTAAGGAATAAAATTAATATCAATCTCATATAAATTCCTCCAGAAAATAATAGAGAAGAATAGAATACCCTCAATAATTTTATAAGGTCACCATGGCCCCAGACCATTTATATGTTTATAGTTACATTATTATTATTTATATTTATGTTTGTTTATTTAGAAAACTGTTATATTTAGATAAAATTGTTGTCTTTAGAAAAATTAGATTAAAGGTAAGTATCCTTTATGAAAATGGAAAAATTGACAAAATATTAGCAAGTCAAACCCAACAATGTATCAAATTGATAATACATTATGACCAACTTCATTCTAGCCAGCAGGCAGAAGGTCAGTGTACTTTAAAAGCCATGTAAATACCCATGTTAACATGGGTAAAAATTCCAGGTGGGGACTGGATAAAAAAGGTGAAGAGATTAAGTTAAAAAAAAGAAACCTCAGAGAGACAAGAGCATATAAATTACCAGAGGGGATGGGGGTTGGGGAGGTAGGGGAGGGTAAGAAGGGAACAATACTGATGGAAAGAAACTTAATTAGAGTGGTGAGCACACAATACAACATATAGGTGATACACTATGTAATTCTACCCCTGAAACCAATATAATTTTATTAATCAGTGTCACCCCAACAAATTCAATTAAAAATAAATGAAACCTGACTACATGTACATATAATATTAAGTAATCACAGATTACAGATTACCACAATACTTACAAAAGCAGCATTTGACAAAAATGAAAAATATTCTTGATATAGAGGCTAAAAACCTAGAAAAAATTCTTCAATTTTGAATAGGTTCTCTACATAAAACCAATAATTAACATTGTGTTTGGTCAAATAATAAACTTTTTGGTCCTAGAATAAGAAAGAAAGCAAAGCTATCCACTAAAACTGGTTTTATACAGTACCACACCAGAGGTTTAAGCCATTACCATAAAGCCAAAAAAAAAAATCAGTCAGAAGAGTTAGAAAGATGTGTAACTTCCCTTTAGAAAGATGATATGATTGCTTACAAAGAAAGTTATTTGTAATCTGCAAAATCTACCAGAACCAATAAATTAATTTAACAAACTTGCATGGCATGAAGTCAATTTACAAAAACAATTACATTTTAGATACTGGAAGTAAAACTTAGAAATGATTTCCAGATAGAAATTCTTTTAAAAATAAATTTTAAATCCCAAAATTTAAATATTTAACACTACATGAAGGAAAAGGCATGTACATATATTACCAGGACACTTTAAATTATTGAGAATAGATATGTAAGAAGACAGAAATAAATAGACAGATGGAATGTGCTAAAGAATTGGAAAATTCAATGTTGTTTAGATGTTAACTCTCAACAAATTTATCAATAGATTAGATTTCATGAATTCACAATAAAAATCCAAAATTATTTTTTGCATAAATAGACAAGTTGTTTATAATATTTATATAAAAGATTAAAGAAACTAGAATAGTTAACTCATCTTGAAATGATGAGTAAATGTGATACTAAGAATTGCTATAAAGCTACACTAGCCACTAGAGTGTGGTATGTGTAAAGAAAATCAAATAGATCAATGAAACAGAAAAGAAAAACTAGAGATAACCCTACATTTATTGTAGACAAAAATGATGAAACAGGTCAGTAGTGTTTTGTTAAAGAGAAAATAAATAAACCTCAAATCCTACCACATGCCATATGCTAAAATTAAAGATGGATCATATCTCTAAACCTAAACACTGAAACTATGAAACTTATAGAAGAACACGTTAAAGAATATTTTATGGTAACAAAGAATTTCAATGAGAATACTTGAATCATTAACTACAAAGCAACTTACAAAAATGACTTCATTAATAATAAAATGTCTGATCATCAAAAAAACCCCTTTAATAAAATGAAGTATCAGTCATAGAGTTAGAGAAAATATAACATATCTGAGTAAGAACTACTGTATAAAAAATATAATAAACTCTCAGAAATCTGTAATGCAAAATAAAATTTCTGGGTTCAATTCCTGGTCAAGGCATATGGCTAGGTTGCGGGCAGGTTCCCCACCTGGAGCACATATGAAAGGCAACCAATCAATATTTCTCTCTCAGATTGATGTTTTTTGCCACAATGATGTTCCCCTCCCCTTGTCTCTCCTTCCCTTTCTCTCTTTCTAAAATCAGTAAGCGTGTCCTTGGGTGAGGATAAAATTATAAAAGTAAAATAAAATTTAAAAATAGTAAAACGTAAGTATGCCAACTGGGCCAAATTATTGTCATTTCATAAAAGAAATAAAAGATCTGCCTTTTGACTCAGCAATTCCACTGCTGGGATTATATTCTAAGAGCCCTGAAACACCAATCCAAAAGAACCTATGCACCCCAATGTTCATAGCAGCACAATATACAATAGCCAAGTGTTGGAAGCAACCTAGATGCCCATCAGTAAATGAATGGATCAAAAAACTATGGTACATTTATACAATGGAATTCTATGCAGCAGAAAGAAGGAAGGAGCTCCTACCCTTTGCAACAGCATGGGTGTAACTGGAAAGCATTATGCTGAGTGAAATAAGCCAGGCAGTGAAAAATAAATACCATATGATCTCACCTTTAACAGGAACCTAAAGAACAAAACAAACAAACAAGCAAAATATAACCAAAGACACTGAAATAAAGAACAGACTGACAGAGTTCAGAGAGGAGAGGAGAGGGAATTTCAGGGGAATTTCAGGGGAAAAGGGGAAGGAAGATTTACAGGAATGAGTATAAAGGACACATGGATAAAAACTAGGGGCTGGTGGAAATGGGAGGGGAGAGGGCTGGGTGGGTGGGTTGGGATGGGAGTACAAGGTAGAAAATTATACTGCAACAACAATTTAAATAAAATTTAAAAAAATGATCATAAAAAGTATGGTTCACATTGTTGTGCAGCCATAAAAAAAGAAAATAAAAGAATATCAACAAGAATATTAAAAAGAATGCAACATCAGTAATCACAAAGGAAATGCAACTACAGTGAGATATCATTACACACTAAGAAGCTAAAATAAAAAATACTGACAAGGTAACTCTGAAATTCCAGAGAATGAATAAAACTTCATATCTTTCTAGTAGTGATACAGGTACACAAGCTCTCCAGACCACTGGGAGGGGGCTGGGGCCTGGGAAAAGAGGGACAGCCAGGGTAACTGAGTGCACACTTCCCCAACCCCAGGCACCATGGCAGCAGGAGGAAGCACACTGAGCACATGCAAAGCTAGCAAGATAACTGGGTAAGGGGAGAAAAGCCCTCCTACCCCCTTCCAGTACCAGATTGGGGTTGGGACAAGGGGAAGGCAGGCACATGTGCAACAGAAGTTAAAATAGCACAGGAGAAGGTCTGGATCTAAAAGCCTGTCACTCTAGCCAGGGGAAAGAAGGGCTAGGTTGGGAGGCAGACCCACCAAAAACTCACAAAAGTTTATTAAGTTTTTTGGTCATTCTGAGTAAGAACCTGGTCCATCCCACATACAAAACTAATATAAACACAAGGGTGGTGCTTGCTTCGGCAGCATATATACTAAAATTGGAATGATACAGAGAAGATTAGCATGGCCCCTGTGCAAGGATGACAGCAAATTTGTGAAGCATTCCATATTTTCAAACAAACAAACAAACAAACAAACACAAGGGTGAAAAAAATCTGACTCTTGCTCATGGCTGGCTGCTTGGAACTGGCACTTGACAGTATAATGGCCTGTCCTCTTCATGAGCCTTGCAACCTTAGAAGTCACATGGCCCATGGCCTGCAGAAAGGAATCTCTCTCCTGTTGACCCAGTGGAGCATTCCCTGGTTCACTGGCAAACTCTCCAGCCTGGGAGCTCAGGACTTTGTGGTCCTAGAAGCCACATGTCCAATGGCAGCACCAGCTCCACACACAGACTCCGGGGCTGATCCAGAAGCTAGACAGCAGCTGGGCACAAACTAGGCTACCTGGATAGCTGCTTAGAAGCCAGTTTGGGCTCCAAAAGACAGTACTTTTAAATGGAGCAGGAATTTTGAGCCCTGCTTTTTGTTTTAGTCTTGTTGAGGACACTTAGGTTTTGTCTAGGTTTTGTGGAGGAGATGAGCTTTGAGATGAATATTTCTTCATTCTCTTTCCAGATTGTTCAGCATTTTACTAAAACATTTTTCATTTCTCACCAGCCTCTGCCTCTAGAATGTGCCTTTTGATAGTCATGGGCAGTTGAACCCTAATTCAGTAGGTGCATACAATGGTTAGAACACTGTAAAACAGACTTGCAATGTCTTTTTTCTAAATGAAACTAAGGATAAACTTATTTTATGATCCAGTATGCCAATACTTGGTATTTAGCTCAGAACAAAACTGTAAGTCAACTGTAAAACTTCCATAAAAGTGATTGTGGTAGAGATATTCCTACAACCAAGAATGGGAAACAACCTGACCACCCAGCAAAAGAAAAGTAGAAAAAGAAAGTATACTGGTGAAAATGCTCAAACACAACTGTGTATAAGAGTTTTATTTAAAATAGGAAAAACTGTAAAATAGGTCATATGTCTACTAGTAGTTTCTTACATAAAATTATTATTTTCTATGCTATGTAATAATATCCAGCATTAAATAGAATGCACTATGATATATACAATTATGTTAAGTGAAAAGAGTCAAACAGAAGAGTACGTACTGTATGACATTTCTTTTGAAATGAGGAGATAAAAATCATACCATGTTATAAAAAAACTTAATAAAAAAGACCTGAGCCCCAGCTATGTTACTCAGTTGTTTGCAGCATCACCCCACACACCAAAAGTTTGAGTGTTAGATTCCCAGTCAGGGCACATATATAGGTTGCAGGTCCAATCCTTGATTGGGGCACCTACAAAAGGCACTGATCAATGTCTCTCTCTCGCTCGCTCGCTCGCTCACTCTCTCTCAATCTCCCTCTCTTCTTAAAATCAGTAAAAACATATCCTCAGCTGAGGATTAAAAAAAAACCCTTATCTTTATAAAAACAATAGACCTGAGATTACTTATGATGGTGGGAATTGACTGGAAATATATGTAAAGGACAGTTCTTTCTGGGTTAACATGGATGGACAGGAGAATATTATGCTAAGTAAAGTAAGCTAGGCAGTGAAAGACAAATACCATATGGTCTCACCTACAAGTGGAACTTAATCAACAAAACAAACAAGAGAGCAAAATATAACCAGAGACATGGAGATTAAGAGCAAACGGACAGTGACCAGAGGGGTGAAAGGAAGGGGATAACAGGAAAAAGGGGGAAGTGTGTCAAGGAACACGTACAAAGGACCCATGGACAAAGCAAAAGGGGTGAAGAATTGAATGTGAGAGGTGGAGGTAGGTGGGGGAAGGGAGAGTCATGGGGAGTAAATGGGGACAACTGTAATTGAACAATAATACAAATATGTAAATCTTAATTGTATCTTGATTACATTTATCTTAACTCATGAATTATACACTAAACATATTAACTTTAATACAGGTGAATATTAACTAAAACTTAAGATTCTCAAGGTTATTTGTTCCCATGTAGAATAATACTGGAAAAGAAAATTAGTAACTATATATTTGTCACACATATATCACCTGTGTCAAATAAAAGTCAATTTAAATTGAATACTATTTACTATATATTTGTATAATCAAAGTCTTATAATTCAAAAGCCTGTATTAAAATTTGTAAGGATTTAAGTAATGAGGACATTTTATGTCATTTATGCTTTATAATTTTCCTAATGAATTTTAACTCAATTCTTACTTAAAACATATGATTTTGTTACAATCATACATCATACAATTTTTGTTGATATTTTCCAATTTTTTTAATTGTATTTTTCATTAATAGTTTACATTCAGTATTATTTTGTATTGGTTTCAGGTGCACAGCACAGTGGTTAGACAATCATATGCTTTACACAGCGATCCCCCTGACACATCAGGTACCCACCCGACACCACACATAGTTCTTACAACATCATGGACTATATTCCCTGTGTTTACTTTACACCCTGTGACTATTTTGTAACTACCAGTTAGTACTTTGGATCTAATGTCACCAGAATATAATAATCAGCATGGTATTATTTCATTGTAATTTATTGAACTTGATTTGTGATCTCTTTCACATATAATTTATAAAAAAAAGGACATTCAATCTGAAAGAATTGTTTTCTTCTGTGTAAAAATTTCCTTGTGAAATTCAAGCTCAATCACTTATGCATAAAAATCATCAATATTATTGGAATTTGAAAGAGATGTAGTAAGCTTCTAACACAAATGCTGCTCTTACCTTTGGGATTCTTTTGTTACACAGTGGATGTTTGTCATTTTTCATCCTTTTATTTTTAACATTTCTATATCATAGTTTTTAGTTAAGTTTCTTATATACAATGTATTACTTAATATTTAAGTCCAGTCTGAGAACCTGGCCTTCATTAGTGAATGTGTACTTGACATATAAACGTATATTTACTACAGTTACTATAATATTGGAACACATTTCTTCCAAATGTTGTCCTCTCCTGAACATTCTTTTTTCCCTCCTGTCTTGTCTTTAATGGAAAAGATCAAAGATTTTTTCTGCCTATTTCATGAATGTGTACATATAATATAAAATTCTCTGAGATGATCTGATTATCCACTAAGAAAAATTATTTTTCCCTTGATTAATTCTCCAAAGGTAGTTTACACAGTAAAATTTCTTACAAACTATCTTACAATAAAATTATATTATCAGTGGCTTTAACATATTTATTGGAAACTTAAGTTACTGAATATTTTTATATTAACCTTTATATTATTTTATAATTTGCTTAATATTCTGGCATATAATTCATATAAAACTGTTCTTAAATAAAATTTTATTAAAGGTAGATGCACTTAGATTGGTTCCCTAGAAAGATATGTAATTTTAAATATAATTTTTTAGAATCAAATGATAATAGGAAATAAGCACATTAAGCCAGAGATTATTACCCAACATTAATGAAATAAATAATTATATCTGTGGGAATTAAGGATTACTTTTTAATTTATTTTTTATTTTTCAATTGCAGTTTGCATTCAACATTATTTTGTATTAGTTTCAGGTGTACACCATAGTGGTTAGACAACCCTATACTTTACAAGGTGTAAAGTCACCATACATAGTTATTACAATATTATTGACTGTGTTCCCTGGGCTGTGTTTTACATCCTGGTGACTGTTTTGTAACTATCAATTGTTACTTCTTCACCCTTCATCTTCATCCCTTCATCCCAGTCCCTGAACACTTTCCCCTCTGGCAACCATCAGTCTGTTCTCTGTACCCGTAACTATTATGTTTGGGATTTTAGTAATTTTCTTCTGGAAATAGTTGCCCAAACTACTGAAACATGTAATGTGTTGCCTAAGTCTGAGAGAGGTTTTTGAATCCTATAGATATAATTGCATAGTTAGTATTGGAAATCATCTTACTAGGGCAGCTAAAGATTACGTAAATGTTATGTTTAACCCTGGGAATTTGTGACTCTAAGTCTATGCCCTGGCCTTATACTAAAACTAAACGTTTCTATGCAGGTCATTCCATAAGAATAAAAGTATTTGACAATACCTATGGAAATCAAGTCACATAAGAGTCAGTGCTTAAATATGAATTATACTAATAATTGGCAATGATTAATTTGATACACCAAATTAATCCTCTTCCTGAATATAAAAAAAAATTAAATTCATTCTTTTTTTTAAGATTTTATTTATTTATTTTTAGCGAGGGAAGGGAGGGAGAAAGAGAGAGAGAGAGAAACATCAATGTGCGTTTGCTGGGGACCATGGCCTGCAACCCAGGCCTGTGCCCTGACTGGGAATAGAACCTGCGACACTTTGGTTCGCAGCCTCTGAATATGAAAATTTTTACATCTTATGTATTTCAGCCTTAGAATTCCTCAACTGTTCATAGAGGAAATATGCTTGGCAGATCATAAATATGCTTGTCTTTGTGGGTTGTGTGTAGATAGGTAGGACTAGAACCCTTAGATTTAACTAACAAATAGAAAAATTTTCTTTTCTTTCTTTAAAATGTGCAAAGTAGAGATCTTTGGTTTGGGTAAGTGAGAAGCAATGATTCCATCATAGCTTTCATGTGCTATTTTCTCAGAAATCCCATACTAGGTTAGTAACCTTGCATCTACATAATAACTATTTGATCTAAAAGGTTGGGGGCTGGGGGGGTGGTCTGGGATGGGAGTAAAAGACAGAAAACTGTACTTGAACAACAATGAAATGAAATGAAATGAAATGAAATGAATAAAATAAATTTAAAAAACAGGTGGGGGCAGGGGAGAGTAATGGGGAAAATGGGGACAACCGTAATTGAACGACAATATTTTTAAATGATAATAAGTGGAAAAAATTTTAAAGTTTCTGCTTACAGTCTTTTTTACAATTGCTTTATAAGGATGAGCAAAATGTTAACTGTATCTGCTATTTCACTCATTCACACCTGAATTTTAAAATTCATAAATTTACCTTCTAAATTGGTGGTTGATGTTAAGTTTTGCTCTTCTTTTTATTTTTCAGTAGAGTGGTGGGAATTCTGCTTATACATTTCTGTCATCTTCAAATTATATCTTTATCA